TTTCCTATTGTGCTCTTCATCAATAGATAATTTTTTTCTGTGGATACTAAAATTTTCTCTGTTTTAGAGGGGAGGAGTTGTTGCACAAAGAGGTGACCAGGGCCAGAGACAGGAGCACATCTGCCTCCAGACTCCTGTTCTCTGTATTTCCCAGTCCCTTAAAGCTAAAGAATGACCAGACCATTTGAAAAATATCTAAGTATCAGCTCTATTAGAAAAACAGTCAATAGATCATCCTGCTCATTTATCCCCATAGTATCCATCTGCAACTTATTAAACAGCCTAAAAGTGAAGCCCTCATTCACCACCTCGTTTTTCTTCCCCTTTTGCTTGTTTGCCTGCTTACTTGCCTGGGAATTTGTTATACAGAGCCCTGGGAATGCAGAATGTACAATAAAAAGAAATAAAAATAAATAAAAATGCCCTCTGAGTGCACAGCTCACCCCTGTTGAGCAGCCCTGCACTCCAGGGTCACAGGGCTCCAATTCTGGAACCTTTTCACCCAAAACTCCTTGAAATCCATGAAGAGCTGTGGGATCAGCCCCTGTCCTTGGGGAGCTGTGACATTGATTGTGGAATGAGGGACCTGGAGGTTTTCAGGTGGCACAGGAGCTCTTTGGTGTCTGTGGGCAGGACAGGCTTTATGTGAATATTCAGTGTGTGAGAAGGATTGCCCTCTAATTAATTTCTCACCAACTCAGGACATCTGCATTCCTCTGCCAGTGGAAATAGAGCTTTTGATTTTTATTGTTTAGAAATGAGTATAACTTTGAGCTTCATTAAAACCAAATGCTTAATTGCACTCACAGATCTCAGGTTTATCAATTTACTTAGTTTCCCCTGTACAGTGCAGCAGAATAATATATAATAGTTTCATATAGTGCTGTCCCAGCCAAGTTTTGCTTCAGCATCACAATTTCTCAGACAAGTATGTGTTGATGGTTTATGTTGGCAGGACCTTTGCTTCTGCTGACAAGTTGGAAAAGAAAAATCCCATTTATATTTTGAGATTTCCTAAAGCCTGTTGATTTATGAAATACGACTGGCCTCGCTTTGGGTTTTGTTTTGGTTTTCCTTTTTAAGAGGGGAAAAGAAAAAGATTCTATTTGATTTTATCGACAGTTTAAAAAGTGGAATTATTCCATTAAATTGCCTTTCCCTGATTGAGAGGTTCCTGGCAATGTGGAATTCTGTGAGTTTTAATTTCTGTTTGAGAGCTGTCCCACCTCACACAGGCACACTGGAGCTGCTCCCAGCTGGCCTGCAGCCTGGCAGCTGATGTCTTGGGATGGAGATTTCCCTCCCTCTCTGCTACCAGGGATGGAGGAGACAGAGGGAGAATTTCAGGTGGGCTGGGGTTGTCTCCTGGCTTTCCTGCCTGCCTCTTTTGTAAATCTGTCTGACATCCCAGCATCTGTAGGTTTGGGACCAAGGAAAACCCAAAATTAAACACCTGACACTAAAATATGAATATTTCATATTGCTTTTTTCCCCCTCAAACATTTATAATCCTGCGAATTCTGGTGGGTCCTTTGATAGAAATCCCACAGATTGGTTTTAAGGACTTGCTGAAATTTCTTTGGGGTTCTCGGTGTGATTTTTGATTGGGGATCTGTAGTTTAGTGTGCCATTTGCCACAGTGGAAAACACAACATTGTTTAGCATTAATGGCTGCTGAAAAATAGAAAAGTTTCTGGGAACATGGGCTGACTCAGGAGAGTGGGGGATCCCTGCTGAAGGGGGAGACACAGAAATGCTGGAGGAGCAACAGAAGCTTCTGGGAGACACCTGAGGAGAGTGCAAGGAACCAGTAGCTATGGATTTATTTTATTTGCCTCAAATTCTCAGTCCTGAATGACTGGTGGGTATTGTTCACACACACAAAAAATAAAAAAAGAAAGGAACCATAACTCTTGACTCGTTACATTTTTAAGGTGCTGTGCTTGGCACTGCATAATGGGGGAAAAAATGCAATTGTAGGAAAAGAAAATTAGTCAAAACCAGAGAGCTGGCCAAGAAAATTCATATTTGATATTCATTATCTTATTATAGATGGTCACAAGCCAAGTGCTGATATCCTGTAGGCAGCACTCAAGGGATAAGTGTGCTTTAAATGAAAAGTCTGGTTTTCTTTCTGCCAAATCTGCAGATTTTCCTTCTTCTGGGATTGCTCCATAGGCAAACTGGTCCTTAAAGTCCCATGCTTCCCTTGGGATGGGAATCAGACTGGTGTGCTCAGGAAGAACCCAAATTAATCATTCTGGGATCTGATCATTTGTCCATACCTTCAGCAGCTAAAGGAAATGAGGTGTATAGAAATGGTTATTTAGTTCTCTTTAAAGAAATGGTTATTTAATTCTTTTTAAAGAAATGGTTGTTGAGTTCTTTTTAAAGAAATGGTTATTGAGTTCTTTTTAAAGAAATGGTTATTTAGTTCTTTCAGACATGAGGGATACATTGGAAATGTAGCATTGATGTGGCCCATTTTGGATATGAACTCCTGAAAACAAGATGCTCACTTTAAAATGTTAAAAAAAATTGAGAACTCTACTCAGGATACAACTAAGTCTCTCCCTTTGTAGTGTAAGTAATTAAAGAAAATTGTTCAAGCTTCTAATTTTGAAAGTGAGTGTTCTAAGAAGGGCAAATTTAGCATTAAAAATAAACCCCTGCATGCTTTTCTGTTGTTTCTGAGTTGTCAACACAGGGAGCTGGTCAGGCTGGCCCATTTCAAACAGTGACTAATGGACTCCTGCCTCCAGAATTAAGTGATTAATTGCACCAGGCCAAGACAACAATCCTTATTTGATTGTGCTGATTACAGGGCTGCTGGTTTTTGGAGCAAAGCGAATATTTTGTCCTCATTTCCTCAGTCCTCCAAGGAGTGAGGCAGCTGTGGCCATAATTCAGAGCTGTGAGGTTACTGAAAGCAGGGGTGACCTGCCCGAGGTGTCCGTGTGTCA